ACAGACGTTTCGGTTACTTTACAACCGTGATAATTATTATGAGATGAAAATCAATCTTACCTACAGTTCTCTTAATTATAATTAAGTTAAATTTTAACTATCTTAGTTAATTAATTTGAACCCATCGTCTTCTTCTCCTACCTGGCAATTTCCCAGCTTTAGCCAGGGTCTGCCTTACATGTTGTGAATAGTTTTAGCTAATTTTTATTACTACCGGCCGCCTGCCTGACATCAATCCTCTTTGGGTACTTTATATGAGTACATATGACTCGGAAAAATCACATTGGTACTTGCCCGGGCCAGGATCGAACCCGTTCCCTCATGTATGAGAGGCGGACCTCTTAACCACTAGGCCGCCACTGACTTTTAACAGATATATATTATACTAGTTTTGTCAAGATTATATTATACTAGTTTTGTCCGCGTTAGTTTGGTCAAGAGTAATATATGTATAGCTGACCAGGCGAACTCTATTCCGTCTTAGAGGCCATAAATAATCAGGTTTTTCTTGTTTCAATCAAACAGAATGATTGACATATTTGTTAGTTGTCAAATCTAATGTCAAAAAAAACTTTTGTATGGGAAATAGAAAAGGGCTGTTTTTATGGTTTTCCCAGTAATGAATCAATTTTTCTCACCTTTTAAACCTTCCCTGGACTACCAGGAGTATTTCAAGAATAAAATTAGCCAAATCCGTTCAGCCGTTCTCGAGTTTTAGCGAGACTAAGGAACAGCAATCCATTTTTATATATAGAAGATATATGTAAATATAATTGAATCCTTTTAATTATACGCGACATCACAATAAAAATATATTCCTATATATATGTGTGTGTGTCTGTCTTTGTAGGAGGTCCCTGTATACCGATCTCATTCCGAGATGTGCCCCAAATTACATCTCATAGCCCGTAGACAGAGACGGCTATATCTCTGTCATCTGAATTCCTTTGTGATGCCGACAAATGAGATAACAACAGCATCCCATTGGTTTAAGCATTTTTTGGTTGTTTCAAATCAATTTAACCTTTTTTTTTTATCCTTTTCTGGTCGGAATATAGTGAATGATTTTTTTATGTTAATTTTGTATGAGATTGTAGGTATATAGGTTGGCTTATTCTTCTACCTGGCAATTTCCCAGCTTCAGCCAGGATCTGCCTTACATGATGTGAATAGTTTTGGTTAATTGTTTTTACGAGCGTCTGCCTGACATCAACCCTCTTTGGGAATTCGGGTTTTTGTTTCTTCATGACATAAAGCTACTTGATAGCTAGAGTTTTATCAAAAAAAAGACAACGATAATATTTAATTATTAATAATTGTTATAAATTAAATATTTTTTATTGTTATTCGTTGAAAAGTATTTGAGAAATTTTTATAACCTTGACAATGACTTGGTCGTGATCTTTGTAAGATTGTTGATTTTGACCGATTACGGAGATGGAGGTTGTGTTGTTAAATAAATTTATCGTTTTTTGTAGTACCTACATAAAGAGACAAATTATTTTAAATTAAATGGAATTTGTATTAAATATAGCTGTCTAGAACTAATATCAATTCATTCTTGGAATGTACTTCAAAGGCTACTAGTAGGTTCTTTTCAATTTTGGTAGAGAGAGGAGCTTGTACGGTGGAGGTGATCGTTTAACGTTAGATAGGGTCCCTTAAACCTACACCTGGGTCACAAGTACCAGTCACTGTTGAAGCTCCTCTCACTACAACGATGGACCCGACACACGCACCGTGAATACATGGAATGATGAGAGGTTTCGTCTCTCTATATATATTAAACCTACACCTGGGTCACAAGTACCAGTCACTGTTGAAGCTCCTCTCACTACAACGATGGACCCGACACACGCACCGTGAATACATGGAATGATGAGAGGATTCTTCTGTACATATGTCTTTCTCCATATAATATATAGTTATTATAGTTTAAGACACGTCTGTCTGTATGAGCGGCGCGTGTTCAGTGACGCGCGCTCTCTCGATATTAATACAACACGGACGAAGACGCGGGCGACTGATAGTATATATATATATGTATATATAATTCTAAATATATCCAGCGTATCCAATCCTTCTGTATGTCCGTTCTCCAATTGGTCATCCGTGAAGGACAAAATACCTTGCTGGTTAAATTTTTTGTTGGTCGGTCTCAATCAAGTGCCTTTTTTTACTACTGTATGAGGAAAACTAATATTACGTACACCTACCTAAAGTATTTTAGTTGATTTGGTAATGATTTGAATTATATGTGTGTATGTTTGTCAGTAATAAACTCGAAAACTATAGTCACTATAACAAAAATTATATCACTATCACAAAGATATATTTATCGTGAGAGATATAGGCTATGTTTATTTATAGAAAATATTAAAAAAAAATATTAAATAGCAACAACCAAAAAATACTAGGAAAAATATATATAAAAATATTACAAATATATAGATTATTTTTACTCTTTGTATCTTCATAATATAATAATTAGTTTATTTTCTTAATCAGTAATCATCACTAATACAATATCAGTACACCGTTTTAATATAAGTCGGTTAAACAGATTTCATCTCATCTTTTTTCATTCCTCCGTCATCCCGGTCGTAAGATAGCTATCCTTTATTCCCTAATGATTTGATGTTTTTTTTCCATCGAATCAAGTTCCGTATTGAATAGTATTTCTTTGATAGGATTTCGGTTGGAATAGTTTTATTGATTTGGAACAGATATAAATACTAGCTTTCCGCCCGCAGTTTTATCGGAGTTCGGTTATATCGATCCAAGAGAACCTTTCAAAAGTCTGTGATAAAAACTATCCTATGCTCTTTGTCAAGGTCAACTCTATGTCTGTACCAAATTTCATTAAAATCTGTTCAGTGGTTTAGGCGTGAAAGTGTAACAGACAGAGAGAGTTACTTTCGCATTTATAATATTAGTAGGGATAAGATGAAGTCGTGATAGCCTAGAGCTTACAAGCCCTCCTCTCTTAAGGGCGCGGGTTCGATCCTGTCAAGTGCCAATGTGATGTTCCGAGTCATATGTACTTTATAAGAGTATTTAGACATCACTGACATACGGTGAAGGAAAACATCGTCAGGAAACATTGACTTAATAATAAGTTTGAAATCACCAACCCGTCTTGAGAGAGTATAGTGATTAATGCTCTAACCTTCTCCATGTGAGAAGAGGCTAAGCAGTGGGCTCTGATAGGATGATGATGATTATACGTATAAGATAAAATCCAGCTTATATACTTCTATTTCATGAGCTATCTGATAATGAAAGTCCAATCAAAATCGGTTCAGATTTAACAACTAAGCCGTAACAAAGAATAACGAAAATAGTTATTTAATATTTATCATTAATTTACCGTTTAACTTAGATAATGAATTCTCTAAGTTTCGGGATGGTTTAGTATCATATAAAATTCAAAGATTCTCCTATCTCCGATCTATCTCTGTACCAAAGTTTCATCGAAATCAATTCAGTTCTTATATAAATATTTTTTTATTCTATAATAAAATTCAAGTATAGCATAATACCTACTAAATTAATATCATTATTTACCACATAGTCTATTTAAATTGATTTCTCATTTAATGTTTACGTATTTATATTTTTATACTACGTAAAGTATTTTTTACTTTTTTCTTTATTTAGTATATTAAATGTAATCAATGAACAAACATACCATAAATTAAATATTCGCAAATTATTTCAAATGAAAAAATATCTTTTTCTAGAGTCATAAAATCTTTTGTCACCCAAATGTAACGCCCGTCAGACAAAAGGTGTAAATACGGTTAACCACAGTGGCAGTTAAGTAGACAGTTTAATCCTTCCCTTGTTAAACTAACTAACTTAAGAAATAACTGTTGTTAAAAAGAAAAGGGTTCCGTATAATATATTGTTTAAGTTAAATGATTTTTTTAAGAATATAACTTAGTAATTTTAGTCACAAAAAAATGGGATTTATAACAGGCACATTATAATTTTATATGTAATTTTTTGATTAATAAAAGGTACATTTTATTTTTGTATGATAACTAGCTTTCCGCTCGCAGTTCGCCCGCGTGGAGTTCGGTTATATCTCGTTTCCAAGAGAACCTTTCAAAAGTCCGCAATAAAAACTATCCTATGTTCTTTCTCAAGGTCAACTCTATGTCTGTACCAGATTTCATTAAAATCAGTTCAGTGGTTTAAGCGTGAAAGCGTAACAGACAGACAGACAGAGTTACTTTCGCATTTATAATATTAGTATAGATATTTTCAGAGGTAACTCTAATCTCATAATGTGATTACCATCCACAGCTTCTGTTGCTTCTCAAAGGAATCAAACCCCATTGTTATTAATATATAATCTTTGGGCTAATTGTTAATTTTGACTGTAAGTCCTTTAAATATTTCTGTTTGGTACCACAGGTCGTAAATGTGGTTCCTTTTTAGAAATACAGTTAGGATTTTTGTTTTTGTATTTTTGGGTATACTAGTTTTTGGTGTGACTTTGTCTGTCTAAATTTTGAAATTCGTGATACTTTATATACTATGTGTTATTCTTATGTATAAGTTACATTATTGAAAAGTTTGATCAAAATCCGGTTAGTAGTTTTTACATAACAAACAAGTATAATTAAATGTACTGCACTAGTTTTTCATCATTATCATCAGCCTATCAGAGCCCACTGCTGAGCCTCTTCTCACATGGAGAAGGCTAGAGCATTAATCACCATGCTTGCTCAAGACGTGTTGGTGATTTCAAACTTATAATTTGATATAAGTCAATGTTTCCTCACGATGTTTTCCTTCATCAGTCAGTGATGTCTAAATACTCTTATAAAGTACACATGACTCGGAACATCACATTGGTACTTGCCAGGATCGAACCCGCGCCCTTATAACGAGAGGAGGGCCTTTAACCACTAGGCCATCACGACTTTTTAGTTTTTCATATAAATAGTTTAATTTAAATGTTTAAATTTAACTTAACATATATTTTCCAGGTGAATACGTGATCCAGGGTGACTTACCAGGTGAGCTGGTGAACGAGGAGCGGTTCAACTTGCTGGAAGAGACGCTCAGGCTGGTGGAGCTCGGAGACGAGGGCGACGCTAAGGATGAACAGCCACAGGTGAGTAGACCGACAGAAGACCATGATAAAAATGGAAAGACCGATAGAAATAACTAAAGAAATGAGTTTAATATGATATAACGAGTTTAATGAGTTCTTTTAAAGATTGTATACTAAGTAATGGTTGATATTAAACGAGTAGACCAAGTAGACTGATAGACGTATATATAAAAACTGAGTAAAATATGATATAATGAGTATACCAAGTTCTTTTAAAGATTGTATACTGAGAAATGTCATCTATGAAACGAGTAGACCAAGTAGACCGGGATGTTTTCCAGGCGGTAGAGGGCAGCAGTAGCGGCAGCATGCTCCACCCGGCGATGCGGCACGTGCCGCACCATCCGCTCGCTCACTATCACAACCAGGTGAGTCGCATCAATATTGGTCTAGCATTTAACATACGAGACTTTGTTTGTATAGGGACTACTGTCTTCAAACAAACACACTCTGTATATAGTAAATAATTACTAATAGTGAAAAAAATACCTTAAAAGTCGTTAATATATAAAATATTTCAGCTCAAACTTTCTTCTGATAATCTGCTTCCAATGTAGATACGTGGAATTATACAATGATAGTTATAAGGATTTGCACTATCACCGACTATATGTATGTGTATTACTGAGTCGATTTTGATGAAATTTTTATGAAATATAGAATAATGTGTCGAATAAAAGATGCTTGTTTTCGATTAGGGTATAAAATTATGCGTTAATAACTCTCTCTCTATCATATAAATGTGTGTGTGTTTGTCACACCTAACCGTCAAAACTTTATTAATTTCGATTTTATCAATAAGAATACAATCAATTACAATAAATTATTAAACATCAAAACATTATAAAAAACAGGCCAGCAAGTGTCAGACAGCCGTGAGTGATGTCGCCGAATGAATAATGAAGTGTCGCGGTCTCGGGGCCACACACGAACACGGACGGACAGACAGACATACATATATAACTGAATTAAAAAGGCTTGATTTTGATGATATTGAAAAAATTTAGATAGAAAGATATATCCCTACTAATATTATAGATGCGAAAGTAACTCTGTCTGTATGTTAAGCTTTAACGCCTAAACCGCTGAACTGATTTTAATGAAATTTGGTACAGACATAGAGTTGACCTTAAGAAAGAACATAGGATAGTTTTTATCCCAGACTTTTGAAAGGTTCTCTTGGAAACGCGATATAGCCGAACTCCACGCGGGCGAAGCTGGTATGTATTTAAAATTCTCGTGTCACAATGTTCTTTCCCGTACTCCTCCGAAACGGCTTGACCGATTCTCATGAAATCTTGTGAGCATATTGAGTAGCTCTAAGAATTGGACAGCAACTATTTTTCATACCCCTTAGTGGTAAGGGTTGTTCACACCAAATTTTATATTCTAACTAGTTTTTGCCCGCTACTTTGTCCATATTAATTTCTTCATTATTAATATATGTATAGCTGACCGGGCGAATTCTCTAGATGCTGTAAATAACAAGATTTTGGAGTTTATTAAGCATTATTTTGTTTCGATCGAACAGTATTAAATATATGTCTGTCTCCTTGTTCTAATCTATCTCTCCGCCAATCTTCATCCAAACCCGTACAGCCGTTAGAGTTATAAATAGTGTAACTAACACGACTTTCTTTTATATATATATAACATTTTAAATTAAGCCTTATAGATTCAGGAGTTCTTAAGTAACACAATACACATACATACATACATATATTATATATTTGCTTATTTTTTCCCATACAAGTATATTTTCTTGTCACATTCAGAAAGTTTATTTTAGATTTTGTATTATTTAAAACGAGTCCATGAATACAGTAGCAGGATTATCGTTTATCGATAAAATAGTGATGTTAATAATACATCGATATCGATATTTTTTAACCACAAAATATTTAAATAACTACCCTCATATATTTTGCGTGAATTTTCTCCTTCTTCTACCTGGCAATTTCCCAGCTTTAGCCAGTTGTTACATGTTGTTAATAGTTTTGGCTAATTGTTTTTACGACCGGCCGCCTGCCTGACATCAACCCTCTTTGGGAATGCATTAATCACCACGCTCGCTCAAGACGGGTTGGTGATTTCAAACTTATAATTCGTTATTATAAGTCCATGTTTCCTCACAATGTTTTCCTTCATCAGTCAGTGATGTCTAAATACTCTTATAAAGTACATATGACTCGGAACATCACATTGGTACTTGCCAGGATCGAACCCGCGCCCTCATGTATGAGAGGCGGACCTTTTAACCACTAGGCCACTTTTTTTAGGTGAATTTTCTATATATACATAATGTAAATATAATCTTAGCTCATCACTTACTATCGATATCGATACCTAATGATAATTTTCATATGTTCCCATCACTATCCGTGGAATGTTATTTACTTAGGACCTCATCTCAAGATCGTCTCAAGTGGTCACTCATTATAAATCGGAAACATTTTAAAATATCACAAATAATTTATTTTAAGAAATCCCTTTTTTTTCTATCTTTTTCTTTCTTAAAATGTATCTTTTTTTTTTGTCTTATACTAATATTATTTTTGATTGTGATAACATGTTTCGAAATATTCTGCTTAAATAAAAATTGATTAATTTTTACTACTTAAAATTAGTTGTGTATTATTTATCTGATATTGTTAGTCTCATTAAAGTCGGTCCATCTTTTTACGAGATCAGTCGTAACAAACAGACATTCAATCATATACATATACTGGATTTTGCCCCCGACTTTGTCAGCGTTAGTTTCATGATTAGAACTATATAGCCGAACAGGCAAACTGTTTCTATTCAGAGACAATAAATAAATAGATTTTCGATTTATTTATTTTTTTGGTTATACGAATTCAAATGTATCCTATGTCCTTTCTATGTTCTAATCTATCTCTCCACCAATATTCATCCATATCGGTACAGTCGTTAGAGTTATAAATAGTGTAACTAACACTACTTTCTTTTACATTTACATTAGATTACATTAGATTTGACAACTAACTAATATGTCAATCATTCTGTCGCACTTTAAAACACGGAGATTTATGGCTTTAATAGGTAAACTCCAAAAATATAAAAACGTAACAGATATTTCTTGATTATAGAGCGATACGAAGTTCGCCGGGTCTTCTAGTATATATATATATATATATAATATATATCATTCTGTCAGTTATTTCAAAAGGTGTATAGTTCAAGCCCCATACAACTTCTATTAATAAACTGGTCATGATGAAGCCTCTCGGAGAATGTGGGCGTGGCGCCAGTCATTGGTTGAAGCCCTAGCACTCCTTTGAATACCTAGATATAAAACCATCTATATCTATATCTATAGATCATATTATCTACACGTCAAATTCCTTCGAAATGAGCTAGGCTTTTTCATTCTGCGATGCTCTTATTTCGCTTAGCATTTCCATTATCTGAAGTAACATCTTAAAAGGTTTAGGAGATTATGTGTTAAGGACGGACTGACGTGGAATTATTATAGCTTATTATGCGAATCTTTTTGTATGTGTGTTTGTTGCTAATTCACGTCGAATGTAGTGAACGGATTTTGATGAGAATTCACAGTTATGTAGCTTAGATATAGGAAAAGGATATAGTATATAAGTTATTCCGAAATTTTGTGTAGTTCCCGGGAACACTTCATAACAAATGTATTGTTACATGAAAAACTAGTTACATCAAAAAAATAAAAAATATTTACTCTAAATTTTAATCATGGCTGGATTCATTTCGATAAAATCGCACGCACAATCTTAGATCTGAACAACGAGAAATTAACTATCGGCTGATATCAAACAGCTGTTTTTCATACAAATACGGATAAGGTTTTTTATATATATAATAAAAAACTATCAATTTGTCATTCCGTTCGTCCGTGGTGGCCGATCTTCGTCTTGTAGAAAACACATTAATCATTCGGTGATTTGAATCCTATATCGCTTGATCTAGACTCAGTCTGAGTCTAATATTAAGCTCGGTCTAGACTGAGCATAGATTTAAATGTAGTCTCAGTCATACTTAAATCATTATTTTTTCTATATAAATAATTATATCATTTTATGTATAAAAAAGTCAGTAGTGGCCCAGTGGTTAAAGGTCCCGCCTCTCATGCATGAGGGCGCGGGTTCGATTCTGGCCTGGCAAGTGTATGAGATCGCGGGTTCGATCCTGGCAAGTACCAATGTGATGTTCCGAGTCATATGTACTTTATAAGAGTATTTAGACATCACTGATTAATGCATTCCCAAAAGAGGGTTGATGTCAGGCAGGCGGTTGTAAAAACAATTAGCCAAAAACTATTCACAACATGTAAGGCAGACCCTGGCTATAGCTGGGAAATTGCCAGGTAGAAGAAGATATAATTATATGCATTTTCATAATAATATATATATATATAAAGTTATTTAGTTATTTTAATATAAATTCAAGCCTCGTTTATAATCATGACATTGACGTCGGCTACGTCAAAGAGATACATGATAACATTTGTATTTCACGAAATCAAAGTTACATTCAATGTTCGTAGCCTTACCTTACTATAAGTTACAATAATAAATACATTTACTTTTAAAGTTTCGTTTTGAGTCTTCACATACGTACGTAAGGACGTATGTATATAAAATACGCAAAAATTTTCGTTTCTTGATTCATTATCCCTACTAATATTATAAATGCGAAAGTAACTCTGTCTGTCTGTCTGTTACGCTTTCACGCCTAAATCACTGAACTATTTTTTATGAAATTTGGTACAGATATAGAGTTAATCTTGAGAAAGAACATAGGATAGTTTTTATCCCAGACTTTTGAAAGGTTCTCTTGGAAACGCGATATAACCGAACTCCACGCGGGCGAAGCTGCGGGCGGAAAGCTAGTGAGATGTAATACTGACAAGTATTCATTTAAATGAAACTAATATTTTTGTATACTACTCGTATTTTATTATTTTAAACTACATACTCCCGACGTTTCGGTTACTTTACAGCAACCGTGATCACGGACAGACGAAAAGTGTTGTAGTACCTAATAAAAATAGTTTCATTTGATTGTAACTTGTAGTAAGTTTAATTCTATAGTAAGTTTTAATGTATGTATGTCTTATTGTTAATATTATTACGAAATATAGGATTATTTTGACTTTAAGTTTAAATTTATTAATATATATTAAATACTAGCTTTCCGTCCGCAGCTTCGGTTCGGTTCGGTTATATCGCGTTTTCAAGAGAACCTTTCAAAAGTCTGGGATAAAAACTATCCTATGTTCTTTCTCAAGGTCAAGTCTATGTCTGTGCCAAATTTCATTAAAATCAGTTCAGTGGTTTAGGCATAAAAGCTTAACAGACAGACAGAGTTACTT